ATATAATTAAGATGTTTTAGAAGAAAACATACCACATTAACTAATTTGACTAACATTTTTAATTTATTCAAATTAGCTAATTATATCTTATATTACCTCTGATCCTTAATATAAGACCTTGTTTGACTTTTATTTTGATCCTAAATATAAGACTCCAATCTACTTTGTTTCTTATATTTATTCAGTTTTTCTAAGGTAATTTTTCTAATGATAGTAATTTTAACCAATATATTTAATTAGTAAAGATATTTTAAGAAAAATAATATATATTTATTATAAATAACTAATTTAACTTAACTTACTTTCTTAATTTATTTAAATTAGTTAACCAGTTATTAAAGATGGAAGTAACTTATACCGAGGACCAGTTTTTTTTTCTAAAATGGTTGACTTGAGATTGTAGTTTCCACGTGTTTGGAAACATAAATTCAAAGGGCAACTGAAGAAATCCACCCCCATTAATGCATCTAATCCCCACATTTATATCCGGGGATTTGCTGATAAACACGAACTTCAACAATAATCATGCTTTTCACCGAATTCTCCTTCAACTACATCTCTTTAAAAGCACATCACAATCCAAGACTTGCTTCATCCCTGTTCTGATCTCCTCTGTGTTTGTCCCCTTCTTAATTTCCCTCAAACCCAGAAATAATCATGCCAAGCCCAACCATGCCCAAGAAGATTCAAAAATTCTTTCACCATTGCCTCTCCAAGCTCAAAAACTCTCGTCCCCAGATCCACCCTGCTGCTTCTTCTTCTTCATCTCCGATCATGCGGATCCTCTCGGGTTGCAAGCAACCCAAAACCCCTTCGTTTGCCGTCTCCAGAGGAAACGACAACGACGCAGCTAGGCTATCAGATGTTGATCGTTTCCTCTTTGAGAATTTCAAATCTCTGTTCCTAGACGACAACGAAAATACTCCTGAGAATTATAACAACATCTTTACCAATGATGGAGTTTCTGAAGAAAATCGCGGAGGTCCGATAACAGGACCCCCTCCGCTCCGCCCGATGTCGCCAGATCTTCTCGGTGACGTCACTGAGTCTTCGGGTTCTCGGGAGAGCATCGTCCTATTGGCGTGGTCGGAGAACCAGTATGAGGATTTCCGGCGATCAATGAAAGAAATGGTGGATTCAAGGTTGAGGAATCACGAAAGGGTGGATTGGGGATTCATGGAGGAGCTCTTGCTTTGTTACTTGAACCTAAACGAGAAGAAGTCGCACAAGTTTATACTGAGTGCTTACGTGGATTTGGTCCACGTTTTGCGGGAAAGCTCGTCGGAAAAAGCTCCGGCAACGGCGAAGCCCAGGAGTGTTCGGACAATTAGGACCGGAAGGGAGATCGGGAGAAGCAGAGTTGCAATCCGGGCAATAGAGAAGCTGGACTGAATCAAGAAGAATTTTATTAGGATATTTTTTTTTTCCTTTTTCCTTTTTCGTTTTTTTTTTTCACTTTCTAAAATCTTCAGGGCTCAAGCATCAGTCAAGCATGCAATAGCCAATAAGAAGCAAGAAGCAATCAATCCTCTTCACCCTTCGGAGTCATGGACATAAATATATAAAATATATAAAAAGAAACTAATATTTCATATTATTTTTTGTCATGAATTCATAATGTGTGAAAATTTAAAAAAAAATTATAAGAAAACATTTTAAAATTCGTGAATTAATTATATTTAAAAATTATGTCGGCATTTTAAGAAAATGGCACCACCATAAGCCTAGACCACTTTACAAGGATCCAAACAAATCGCCCCACAAAATTGCAACGTCAAGAGAGGAAATTTGGACGGTGCTGTTTGGTAATTGGTATCTCCGCTCATGTGTCCTTAATTTTTAAAGGTAAATAAGTGGAATTACATTCAAGTTTCAAAGAAGAGATTTAATGTTGTAAAAGTCCATTAATAAATAAGAAACATATAATGATAAATTTAAGAATAAAAAATATAACAGATTTATGTTGTTCATTTATCATTTTTTTGCTCAAACTTATTTATCATCAATATTTTTAATAATTAAATTATTTTCTTGAGACATGGTGATAATTCTTCCCTCGTTTAATTTTACGTTTTGCACTTTTGGTCTACTGTGTGATGACAGTGAAGTTGCTTGGCCGGATGTGGAGGGAAGAAGAGGTGATATTTGCCCCCCCCACACAACACTCGTTTTTATTATTACAAAGTGCATTTAAAAAGTTTTTATTTGGTTGAAATTGCAAAAACGATATATAACCTCTACTCACAATTTTGCAAAAAATCACTATTAAAATTCTGAGAGGTGAAATAAAAAATTATTAAATATTTTTTATAACACCTTATAATTTTTATCATGAAAATTATATAAAAGGATTGGAAGGAGTACTTAACCATCAATTATTGAATTATGCATATTACGTCTTATTCATCATTTTTTAATGAATACTTCATCAATTTTTTTTAATGAAAAGAAAAAAGTTAATGTTTCATACAAAAGCCATTAATTGTTTTTTGGCCGGAAGAGCCACTGAATTAAACCATAAAAGAAAGGAATTTAGCCGAGTCTAATACTCATTATCCGTATTTCCCAGCAAAAGATTGTTTATTTTTCATCCAACTTAAAATTCAAATTTAGGGTTTTTTTTTATCCTTTTCCCTTATTTTTATTCCCCGAATTGCAGCGTCGCTTCTTCGGTCTTCTTCTTTCCGATCTCACTCCGAGTCCTCAGTGTGCGAACACTCCGTGGCTTCGTCGTCAACGGAGCTCTCTCCGGCGATTTTCCGCGCAGGCCGTTGATCAAGTCCACGTAAGCACTCAGTATGAACTTGTATGACTTCCTCTCGTTCAGGTTCAAATAACACAACAAGAGCTCTTCCATAAATCCCCAATCCACCCTCCCATAAATTCTCAGCCTCCGGTCCACCATTTCTTTCATCGATTGCCGGAGATCTTCATGCTGGCTCGCCGAGCATGCCAAGATGACGATGTTCTCCCGAGAACCGTAAGTCTCAGTGAGGTCGCCGAGAATATCCAGCGAAGTCCGGTCGAACGAAATCGATCCTGATCTCCGATCTCCCTGATTTTCTTCAGAAACTCTGTTAGTAATGCTGCTAGTCGCAGTAGCATCTTCTTCGTGCAGGAACAGAGACTTGAAGTTGTCGAAGAGGAAGCGATCAATATCCGATAGCGTAGCTGCGTTGTTTCCCCGTACTATTGCAATCGAATGGGTCTTGGGTTGCCTGCAATCCGAGAGGATCCGTGTCAGGGAAGACGAAGGGTGGATTTGGGGACGAGGGTTTTTAAGCTTGGCGAGACAATACTGAAGGAATTTTCGAACCTTCATTTTCTGGCCAACGAATTTTTGAAGCTTCTTCAACATTGTTGATGGAGCTTTATTTGCTGTGCTTTTCTAAAAGATGGATTTGGTTGAGGGAAAATGAAGGACGAAGTTTATGTATTTGAATTGTGCTGTGGTAAGACATTTATAGGTGAAGAAGAATCTGGAGAAAAGCATGACTTTTGTTGAAATTCATGCTTCTTGTTGAATCCCCAGAGATTATTAAAAGTGAGACTAGAATCTTGAATGACGGGATGGATACCTTGACTTCCATATATCCCATGCCAAAGCCTCTGAACATGCTTTAGGCCTTTCCCACACCATCCCACTCATTTTTCCTTTTCCGTCAACTCTTCAATGTATTAAAATTATAAGTAATTATCTAGTAGAAATATATAAATGTTGACCAAAATATAAACATATCCGTCAAGTGTCAACACATCTCTCATAATACACCAAGAAACATGAATTTCTTTGAAATGACTTATTAAAAACATCTACTACCTTCGGCTCTTAATATAAGAATTAAATAACTAGTTTATAAATATTAAGAAAATTTGTTAACTTAGTTATTTGTAATGAAGAAATATTGTCTTTTCTAAAATAAGTTTATTAATTATGTGCACTTAAATTAATACTTGATAATAACCCCTTAACATGAACAATCAACATGGAGATCGTTTGATGGCAAAATTGATAAATATTATAAACAAAGTGGATTAAAATTTTATAGTTAAAATAAAATTAAATCTCCATCTAATTCTCATATTAAGTATAAAAGGTAGTACTACCTCTAATCCTAATTATAAGAGCTAGTTGACTAATTTGATGAGATTAAGAAAAGAAGTTATGTTAGTTATTTGTAATAAATAGATGTTGTCTTTTCTAAAATATCCTTACTAATCAAGTGTATTAGCTAGAACTACCATTGTTAGAAGTACTATATTGAGAAAAAATATAAATGTAAGAGACAAAGTAGATTTGAGTCTTATACTTAGAATTAAAATAAAAATCAAATAAGATCTTATATTAAGAATATGGGATAATATTAACTAAAGGTTGCTGTTGTAATATATGCTACATATACCTTCTTTTGGTTTGTCGATGTTTAGAGCGCGAGTTTTCATGCAGTTTGTTTTCCCAACTATCCTTGTTTTGGTTGGTTCAGCCTGTAATGTGTGTTTTTAAAGACTTGAAAGTTAAAAGGATGTTTGGATGAAATCCAATTCATGATTTTAAAACTGCTTTCACAATATACGAAGTAAATATGTAGAAGAATTTATCTCGATTTACGAAAAAGTGTTTTTTAGAAATACTTCTGATGCTTCCCAAACACCTTCTAAATTCGGTAGGAGAGGGTTGGGATTGAGTCTAAGGCTTTGGATTGGTTCATTTGAGTGTTTAACCTGGGACTTGCATAATACGAAGGGTCTAACCCCTTTGGTTTGGGTTTTGGATTACAAAGCCTCTCTCCTTTTAGTTGAATTTTAATCTTGGGTGTCCAAAGTCTTCAAAAAGAGGAATTTCAAAATAAATACTCTTCTAGGTTTATATATAAGTTACTTTCAACATATTTCACACAGACGAAGAAAAATCTTAAATTTCATTAACTCTTATTTAAAATTCAACAATTTTTTAACTTTATTCCTAGTTAATATACATTATACCTCATATAAATAAAGTTAACACAATAATAAATGAAAAGTAAAATTATACATCCATCACTACTACAAAAAAGATATTTTACAGTAGTTTGGAAAGCGACATCTATGCTATTGATATAAAATACAGAGGATTTCATGACGATTTAAAAATCGCTGACAAACTCAATTATTTTTATATATTTTGGTATCTTTTATATGAGTTTTGTCAGCTTAATTGGTCCCTTTTTTCCTTAATTGATTTATTTTGTTTTATTTTGAATTATTATTTTATAGGGGCAAAATTGTCATGTTTTGATTTAATTATGATTAATTGATTTTTAAGGACAATTAATGCTACCTTATCCTTGAATTTTGCTTGCAGGTTCTTGGAAGATTCAAAAAATAAATAAATAAATAAATAAATAAATAAAGAAAAAAAATTAAATTAAAAGAAAATAATAATAATAATAAGTTGGGGACAAAACGTTAATAATCATCATCAACTGGCCGAAGACGCAGGCGAGAACAAAACACACAAGCACGAACAAGCTGGAGGCGGCGAGGAAAAAAACAGGGGACCGGCGCTGAGGTCTAGAGAGCCGACGGGGCAACACGAAGGACCATTCATCATCTTCTTCGTTGAACCTTCCTGGTGGCAGGGGGCGCTCGACGGAGACACACACACACACTGGGAGGCGCGGCTGGAGAAACACACATGAGCGGAGGCACGAACAGAGCAGGACAAAAGCGGCGTGAAACACAGAGACCAGCGACGGCGGAGAAGAGAGGGAGAAGACGAGAATCATCATCATCGGCGACTTCACCTTCCTCTTCTCGGCGTCAACAGAACCAGATCAGAGAACGAACAGCAACGACAGCATGAGCAAGACAGATTCAGCGTGAACAGTATTTTTCCATGGCAGACTGCAACAAAATTCTGAATATGGCATTCCTCATGGCAATCAGTGGCTAAGGTTGTATAATCTTCCAATTCAACAACAATGGCAGGAGCTTGAATCATCAAAGGGGAGTTCTAGTTGCTTTAATTTCCTATTCAATAATTGTTTAACAATTTCTAGGTCTTAAGATAGTTTTTCTGATTATTGCGATAATTGTATTGCTTAATCTGATTATATTTGGGGATTATTGTGACTGGATTATTGTTTAGCATTTGACATCGGGCTGTTTATAGCTTTGATTTCAATTATGATGTTGTGGTTATAACATTCATATTATTTTGGAGTTAATATATTGTGATTTTCTAAGGTGACTTGGAATTTTGGATCATATTGTCTCTTGCTAGCTATAATTCTGTTAATTTGGATTTAAGAATTCTAATTAAGCATTGGATTTTAGCATCCTTAATCCCATTTTACTATTCTGGTTGCAGTTAGTAAGTTGGGATTTTAGGAAAATATTTTGTGGCAATTCGAGGTGGTTCGATTGTTGGATTAAAAGCTTAATTATAATTCTTAATTCATTGTTTTAACTCCCACATCTTTTAGAGTGATGATTACCTGCGTTGTTGAATTGGAGGATTGATTTTTATCAGTGTTATTTGTGTGTCTCATTTTCATTCCTTTAATCTTCATTCATTTTAATTACTTTTATATAAACAAAAAAAGTACTTTAATTTCAATATGATTCGTAGCATTTAATTAGCAGTTTTTTTTTCAAAAATAAAAAATCCCTTTTTATAATTTAGGTTACTTGCATTTATTTACTAGGATTTAATTTCGTTTTCGGCTCCTCAAAGTGAAACGACTCGAGTTGTGCACTATATTGTATTAATTCGGTTAATTTTTGAAGTAACCCCAAAGCGACAATTAAGGGCAGTTAACTTCAATCGCCATGGTATGTGACCATGAAAAAGTTTTTTTTGTTGGTCTTTTTAGTTTCCCTTTCATCCTGTTCATTAGGATAGAATGAGGGAACAAAACCCTAAAGGAAGGAGTTTGAGAATCAATCAACCAATAACTTGCCACTAATCAAAAGCATTGTGATGAAGCAAAAGTAGATCCTTTCTAGCTATAGCACTTAGCTTTGCCTTTAACCACGAAATCGAAACCACTAAGATTTAATGAGGTAAAATCAAAGACCCATATCTGATAAAATTCATGAATTTCAGGATGTTAAACTCTGATCTACAAAATGAGGGAGACAAAAATTGGATCTATTCAAGCTTTCAAGTATCAAAGTATGTTTAAGCAAGGAGAGGAACAAAAATAAAATCTATTTAAACTCAGAATAAATATTATATTTTTAATCAAAGAAAATGATCGAACCATAAAAACTATGAAATATATGGAAAGAACCCCCCCGCAAAGAACAAAAGAAAAATAGTGAAAAACTCACAAATAAAGATGAAGAGGATGATGTGTTAGTGACGACGACGATAGTGACGGTGATGGAAGAACAAGGCAGAGACAATAGAAGTAAGAGATAAACGCCAACAAAGGCAGGAGGAAGGAAAAAATTGAGTGGGGACGATAGTTAGGGGACCATGAGATATGACCGTAAAAAGTGAAAAACTATTGCATAATGGATAAGAGGGTGTTTGGATGGAAACCAAACCATGGTTTTAAAAGTGCTTTTACGGTGTACGAGGTAAATATGTGGAGAAGTTTGTCTGATAAATTTTTTAAAGCAGTTTTTTAAAGTAAAAAGCACTTATCATTGCGGTTTTTTGAATAACTGCTATGAAAAGTAAAATTTGCTTTTATATAATTATAAAAATGTCACCATCATTTTTTTACAGCATTTTCCGTGATAACCACTGTAAATTAATATCGTAAAAGCTCTTTTTTTATAGTAGTGCATATAAAAAATTTTCTCTCACTATCTTATAAATAGGACTAAAAAATATCTTCTCTCTCTGTTTTAGAGGAATAAATGTCTCTAATTAGGCCTTAAAGGATAAAAGAAAGGTTTTTCTTATTTTTTCCAATACAAGGTCACAGATAAAGCTAGCTATATGAAAAAAGAGAGAAATCAAGAACAAACACGAAGGTGCACGAGGGAAGACGGAAGAAGAAAATTTGGGCAGGTCAAGATTTTTTGAGAAGCATTTAATGCTGGATAATACTAGTGGTAAATAAAGTGAACGCAATGTAACGGTAAATTTAAACTTTAAAGTCACTCGAGTTAGAAGCCATTTATGTCAAAAGCTATTCCAAACACTCAAGAAAAAAAAGAACTAGTTGGAGGTTCAAATATATAGTGTTTGGGTGAATTGTGTTGCCTGATGACTTTTTCTTTAAAATTTTAGTTAATTTTCAATGGAGGTTTATCTAGCTCTTAGTAAGGCACTAAAAAATAACCTGTCAAAATAATGATTTAAGAATCAGCAATTCAAATTGAGGTTAATTCAAAATTAGAC